GCTCGGCGAGGGGAACCATCGCCGAAGTTCCGGCGATTCCAGCCCGGCTCTCCACGGTGGTCGCAGGAGCGGTGGGGGCCTTCGGGGGAGGGGGGGGCCCGTTCCTCGTGCTCCTCCTCCCCCTGGAGGGGGACATGTGGGGTGCGGGGAGCAGTTCTCCATCCTCCCACTCCTCTCCTTCTCTCATCCCACTCCTTCTCCTTCTCTTCGTCCCCCTCCACTCCTCCTCCCCCTCCTTGCCATCTTCTTCCCCCTTCCTCGCCTCCTCAGCCTCCTCTTCGTCCTTCTCTGGCTCTGCCTCGTAGGAGCAAAGGTCTGCGATTGCTTGGGTTTGACTTCTTGCCCCCGCGCCGGACGGCTTATGGCTTTCCAGTCTAGCGCAGGAGGGTTTCGGGAGGGGGAGAAAGACAGGACTGGTGGAATGAGGGAGAAGGAATCTTGACTGACGGCTGGTCGGATGTGGACATGGGGTGGATGGTAGGAAGTGGAGGGGGAAGCACGGAGAAATGGAGGGAGAGGGAGAAGGGGAGGGAAGGGGGAGGGAGGGATGGAGAGGGCACGGACGGACGCAAGGACGGACAGGAGGAGGGAAGGAGAGGAAGAGAGAGAGAGAGAGGGATGCTTTCACACAGCAGGGTTTTCGGCCCTCGGATGCCTCCCCCCGACACCACACACACAGACACACACACACATAGACACGCACACACACGGACACGCACGGACACACACACAGATACACATACAGGCACAGTCACAGACTCAGACTCAGATTCAGACTCAGACTCACGCGCACACAGGCAGACACGGACACGCACACACGTACACACGCACAAAAGCACACACACACCACACATACGCACATACGCCCACAGCACACGCACACATGCACGCAAGCACACACGCACACACGTACGCACGCACATTCACACACGCACACACGCACACATGCACAACAACACACAACACACACAGCACACCAACACACAACACACAACACGCATTACACATACACACCACAACACACAACGCACGCAACATACACAGCAGACAGCACACAAAATACAGCATACAGCACACACACAACACATACATCACACACAGCACACACACACGACACACAACACACATACCACACCACGGACACACACACACACACACACACTTCAACACACCAAAACACGCCACAACACACCACAACACAGCACAACACACACCAACACAACACCACACACACCACATACACACCGCGCACACCACGCACACACACACACTTCACATATCACACACAGCATACAGCACACACTTCGCAACACACGACATACACTACACACAACACACACGTCGCAAAACACAGCGCACACAACACACAGCACACCGCACACAACACGCAACCCACAGCACAACACACACACAGAGAGCACACAACACACAGACACAGAGCACGCAACAAACACAGTACGAACAGCACGCAGAACACACACACCACACGGCAAATAACACACTCATCACACAACACACACACAACACACAACACACAACAACACACACACACACACCACACAACACACAACACATACCACACAACACACATCACACAGTACACACCACACAACATAACACACAACATATACCACGCAACACCCAATCCACAACACACAGCACGCAACACGCAACACACGCAACACACAACATAACACAACACATGCAACACTCAGCACACAACGCACAACATACAAAACACAACAAGTAACACACCATACTACACACAACACACACATTCACACCCCTCGCCTTGAGCACCATCCCCTCTGACCTCCTTCGACCTTCCACTGCGCGCATCCCATCCCCTTACCCGCTTCGACCTCCTTCCCCCCCTCATCCCCTCCTCCCCTCCCCCTTCCCGGGGCGGCCACGAACTCTGATCGAGCCGAGTTTTTGTCGAGGATCCTGTCAGGCTGACGCCCGAAGCGTCGGAACAGGCCCGAGCTGGCTCGTCGATCTTTGCTTCTTCGGATTCGCTTCGCGACTGGTCTTGCTCACTCACTCCCCTCACGCCCTCCTCCACTCTTGTCTTGACTCTTGCCTGGTCTAGAAAAGTCAGCGCAATGGGAAGAGATGGGCGGGAGGGGCAGCATGCCAGACATGGCGCAATCGCACCTAGCGTGTCCACCTCCCCTCTTGCCCTGTCCCCACGTAATCCCCCTCACTCACTCACCCAATTGCTTTGCTACTTGTCTCACCCGCTCAGCCGAGCACCTTGGATAATACAGTATCCCCCCTTCACACCTGAGAGTTGATTGTCCCGGGTCAAAGCAGAATTGGTCGGGGGACAGGGACGGCGAGGCCGAACTTCATTTTCGCCGCGGAAAATACGGATCGAAGTTGCCATCCTCGTATTTCGAGTAACAGCACTGTTACGAACTTGTGGCAGGCATATGGGATTTTCGCAATGTCAGCTTTCCTAATTCAGGAGCGTGTAGCAGGGCTATGGTTCTCACCAATTCAGTTTTCCCAAGTCACGAATGTGTGGCAGGGCCATGGGATTCTAATCATCTCAGCTTTACCAAGCCAGCTTTCTCAACTCATCTTTCCCAATCACCGCATGTACTGCTTCTCGGGACTCATGCTCCTCCGACCCCTCCAAGGAGTCCCCGCCAGAGCGAGCAGGGTATCGCTATACCATACTAACATGGCATCGTACATACGAGTTGACGGGAGAAAGCATATTATCCCCCCCCGATCCCCGAATTTGAATTATCTCCACCTTGTGGTAATCAAGGGTATACGGTCCCTCCCTCACTCACTCACCCCCCCCCACCTCTCCTCTTGCCTTGCCCTGCCTCTCCTCCCCCCCATGCCGTCTCCCCCCCTTTCTTTCCCTCGCCTCCCCTTGTCCCCTCCCCCCCGCTCCCTCTCCCCCCCCTCCACCTCCCCTTCCCGCCCTGCCCCTGCCGTCCCTTCCCCTCCCTCCTCCCCCCTCTCCATCTGAGCCGCACCACCGACGACGCCACGGCGGACAAAAGAAACGTCGAAAACTGCTCGATCTGAAGTTCTGGGGCTTCGGCCCTTCCGCGCAGCCCTGGCCAGGGCCGGATCCCCAGTCCCATGGCAGCTCGCTCTCTCGCTCGCTCGCCCCCCCCCGCCCCTCCTCCTCCTCCTCCTCCTCCTCCTCCTCCTCCTCCCCCTCCTCCTCCTCCTCCTCCTCCTCCTCCTCACCCTCCTCACCCTCCTCCTCCTCCTCCTCCTGCTCCTCCTCCCTCCCCGCCCTGGGGTCTGCGGCGCAGCAGCGCCGCCCCGAAGGGACGCAGCGCCCGCAGGATCAGCCGCAGGAACAGCGCCGAGTCCCGTGTCACGGGTGTCAAGGCGGCCGGCCGGCCGTCTCCGCTGCTGCTGCCAAGAAAGCGTCTTCTTGTTCTCGGGCATTGACAGAGCGCCCCCCCAGACAAGTCGACCGAGGAACTCTGCACCTGTTCACTCGACATTGGCATTCGAGTGTGCCAGTACAGTCCGTCGGTTTCGCTAATCGATGTGCGTTTCCCTGGATACACTGGGTCGTTTTTGGATGTCGATTAACTACACCGCTGGGGTGCACTCGGAATGCGGTGCCGTGCGCACGTGGACTGCCCCTGGCTGCTTTAACCCAAGTGCGTTTTGCTAATGGGGGTTCGTTCTGTCCTCCCCCGATGTTCCCTGGCGATAACTGGGGACGTGACGATGGGGGGGGATGGGGAGGGGACGGGTCACGTTGCGATTCGCGCCCGCGCCGTCTGGGAGTGCCTAGGCATGGCTCATTCCCCGACGGCGCTGGCGCGAAGCGTGACGGGACGAGGCGGGACTCGGATCGGCTGGACTCGGCCGGGCCAGGCTGAATCCGGCCCGGCTGGATTCGGCCAGGCTGAACTCGGCCAAGCGGGCTGCGTACGAGTCTGGACTCGGCCGAATCCGGACTCGGCGCCAGCCGAACTCGGCCAGTCTGGACTCGGCCGGGCCAGACCCAGCCAGGCCGGACTCGGCCAGGCCGAGTTCGGCCAGCGCTCTCGCTGCAGGTCGGGCGCTGGCCGGACTTGGCTGGCCGAAGTCGGCCGAGCCAGACCCAGCCAGGCCAGATTCGGCCGGCCGAACTCGGCCAGGCCAAATTCGGTCGGGCCGGAGGTCGGGGAGGTCGAAATCAGTGGGATGGGGACCGGTGCGGATGGACGTTTGCTTTGCTCTTCTGTTCTTCCTTCTACCTACTCTTGTATCTCCTTTTTCGGACTTTCGTTTCTCTCTTGGTCGGGTTCCACTCATCCGCTTTGCTCTCTGTGCCTCTGGCCTTCTGGCACTGCAGTGCCCCCCCCCCCTGCCAGGGGTCGGAGGACGCCAATGAAGCACCTGCGCCGATCCTGGCTGGACCAATCCTGGGCCTAGGAGTCGTGCATCCCCTTGCCGCCCCCTAAGCCACGAGGGCCATGCGCCGATCCTGGGCCCAAGGTCGGCCTGACAAGGATTGGTCTCGGTCTTCAGTCGTCCTCCGACGGTTGGCGCGCGGCGCTGACCTGGGAGCTTCTGGTAGTCTTGGGCAGTCTTGGGCTGTCTGGTGGTCGCGCGGCGCTGAAGGGTAGTTTTGGGTCGTCTTGGGCAGTCTTGGGCTGTGTGGGATAGTTTCGGGTAGTCTGGGGCGGTCTTGGGTAGGCTTGGGAAGTCTCGGGTGGCCTTGGGTGGGCTTGGATGGTCTTGGGTAGTCTTGGGTGCTGTTGGGTAGTCTTGGGTAGTCTTGGGTAGTCTTGGGTGGTCTTGGGCGGCCTTGGGAAGTCCGTGAAGCCTTGGGTAGTCTTTGGTTCGTTTTGGGCAGCTTCGGGCACTCCCAACAAGGTCTTAGGATTTCGGCTGGATGTCGGCGCTACTTCGGGCCGTTTCGCTTCATTTCATGCTGCTTCGTTTCATTTCGCGCAGGAGACCCTGGAAAAAATGGAAACGGTCCGAACTAGTCCGAACTAGCCGCGAAACCGCGGCAGCACATCCCCGTCCCGCCGCGAACTCTCCCTCTGGAGGCGAGGCCGCCAGCGCCTTTGAGGCGGAGCGCGGCCGCGTGCCCCTCCCCCCTCCCCCCGCCCACTTCTCCCTTTCCCGCCCTCCACTGCCTGCTCCCTCATTCCCCCCCCCCGCCCTCTCCCCTCCCTCCTCCCTTCCCCTCTTTCCCCTCTCTCGCCCCATCCCTTCTCTTCCCTTCCCCCTCCCCCGTCTTCTCTTTGCCTCCCTCCCCCTCCCTCCTCCACTTCTCCCTCCTCCCTCCCTGCTTTCCTCGCCCGTCCCGACCTGACCCCTTGGCTCCATCCAGCCGCGGGCGGGGGGGCGAGGCCTGGGGCAGACGGCCGCCGCCTCGTTGCTGCCGGGTGGCCCCCCCCTTTTCTCCGCATCCGCTTCCCGCTCCCCTCCCTCCGCGTCTGGCCGTTCCCCTCCCCCCCACGCCGTCCCTCGTTCCCCTCCCTCCTTCGCAGGCCTGGAGGTTGACACCAACACCAGAATCGGCGATGTGCCTCCACCGAGGGAAGAATATCCCGATCTCGGTGATGGTGGCAATTCTGGCTTCCAGGGTGACCGACATATTACCACCAGCACCGACATCCAGGATCGCCTTCCTCCTGTGGAGGCAGCCCCCTGTGTTGGTTCTGGTGCCCGCTTCCAGGCCTCTAACTCCCCCCTCCTCCCGCAGCGGGCTCGGCCGAGACGTGGAGTAAATGCGGAGCCTGCGGGCGCTGCGAGTACAACGTGATCTTAGCCGAGAAAGACAGGATATGCAAGTATGGCAGGCAGGTCAAGCTGTTCAAGCCGAAGAAGGCCGCCACCGTAGACGCTCTCCAGGCCAACCGGTTGAAGACCGTCGGGAGCGGCAAGGGGAGCGACGCGATTGCCCCAGCCGCGGGGTCGAGCCCAGCCGACCGCCTTGTGCTCATGAGGAGTACGCTGGCGACGACGGAGGATCCTTTGTTGAAGAAGTTGCTCAGCGACGAGATCGCCAAACTAGAGGCGTCGCAGGCCAAACCTCCCCAGTCCAAGGAGGAGGTCTTGAGGCACGCCTCGGGAGTTTGGCGCGATGCATCGCTCAAGCACGACCAGGCCATCAACGCAGTGGTCAAGGCGCAGGATAACCTTGACAAAGCACAGCAGAGAGAGCGCGAGATGGCCCTGGCTCTAGCCAAGGCCGAGGCAGCCAGGCGCCTGGCTGCGCAGGGCATGGCCATGGAGATGGGTTCCGCCAGCAACGAGTGCGCCAACACCGAGGTGAAGGAGGTCCTCTTCGAAATCAAGATCGACGAGGATTTTTTCGGCTCTCTCGACGCGCTGGCCATAGAGGAGACGGACAGGGCGGCGTTGAAGTCGCTGGAGCAGGAGTTGCGCAGCGCGCAGGCGCTCATGCAAGGCAAGCGCACCGAGGTTAAGGGGTTGAACGAGAAGATGTCCGCGCTGAAGGAGAAGATCGACGAGCGGCTCAGGAAGAAGAGGCGCCAGGACGGGGACGCGGCGGCGGCAGGCGACGGCGGCGCGCCAGGCGGCCAAGGGGCTGCGGCCCCAGGCGCCGCGGGCGCGGGCAGCGGCCCAGCGGCCGCCACGCCGGCGGCCGCCGTGCCAGGGGCGGCAGGCACCGCCGCGGGCGATGCAGCCACCGCCGAGGCGCAGCGGGTGCAGGAGGCAGCCGACCGCATCAGCGCGGCCAAGTTGGCTGCAGCCCAGGCAGCGAAGCAGGCGCAGAAGGTGACAGCGCAGGGGACTGCGGCGGCCACAGGGTCTTTTCAGAAGTGAGAGCAGCAGCCGTCCTCCCCTCCTTCACCGAGTCCGTCGACTGGTACTGCGCGGAGGGCGAGGACGGCGAGTAGCGGCAACCATGAGGCTGCCAACGATGCAGACAATTCAGTGAGTACTTTCTTTTTCGCCAATATCACGTGCATCGGCAAGCAGGCCTGGGATTTCGTAGCGGAGCAGCCTTACCACTACATGGGCCTTGTCGAGACGCACATGGACGCCTCGGGCTTCGCCGAGTGGGACGGCAAGGCCAGAGAGGCGAAGTTGCGCCTGCTGGCCAACCCCGCCAGGCCCTCAGGGCGAGGCGGCGCCTCCTCGGGCCAGGCCCAAAGGGCCAACGAGGGAGGCGAGTGGCTGCTGGCGCAGGGGCATCGCAGCGTGAGGAGCCTTGCAGGGTCGTGGCGCGCGCTGAGAGCTGACGGCCACGACGCCCTGGGCGGGCTCCAAGTCTCCGTGATAGACATGAGAGGTTTCTCTTTTGTAGCTGTTTGTTTCTATGGTTTTGCGAGTGAAGGGTGGTCTGGGAGGAACTTACAGAGGTTCAGTAGGCTCGGGGTCCTCCTTGCCAGCCTCCAATTACCCTGGGTAGTTTTTGCTGATTGGAATATACCTGCCTCTAGTCTTGAGACGCGCGGTTTTCTTGCCAAGGTCCAGGGGCATGTCTTGAGGGCTTCGAACGTTGAGGTTACGTGCGCAGCAGGTGCCAAAGGTTCGGAGATAGATTATGCAGTGGCCAGCTCGAGTTTTGTACCGTATGTCTTGTCCGTTGAGGCCCGTGTAGATGTACCGTGGAAAACGCATTGCGGTTGGCTAATGCGTTTCAGAGGTGCGGCCGCGCAGCTCCTCGCACGGTCTGGATTTGCCAGCCAAGCTTCCGCAGTCTCATCGTCCTTCCCCCCTCCCCTCGCCTGGTTCTAAATCCCCCAGGGCCAAAGCCCAGCGTCTTGAAGCCCAGGAGGCCGATCGGGCACGTCGTATAGAGGAGGCTAGTATTTTGTTGGGGGATGTCTTGGGTGAGCCTGGGGGGGGGGGGGGGGGCATAGCCCCGACCCCCAGAGCCAAGACAGTGTTTCGCGCGATTTAAATCAGGTTTTAAATCAAGATGCCGAGTTCGATTTTGCTTTTGGGGCCTGGGATGAAGAGGGGGAGGGCCCGTGGGCTCATGAGGGGAATTTCAGCGCCTGTGACGGGGCTTCTGTCTCTGGCGGCGTGAGCTCTGGAGCCAGCGGTGTCGGAGGCATTTCTGGAGCCCCCCCCATGTGAGCTCTGAGGCCACCCCGAGTCCCGAGCAGACCTCAGCAGGTCTCACCGTGTCCGCACCAGGGGCTCAGGATTTCGTGGCGCAGCCTGGCCAGCCCTGCAATGCCCAGGCGTCTGGTGGAGTTCCCAGCAACAATCTCACTGCTGGCGGTGGCGCCGTCGCGGGCCGCCCTCCAGAGGTCCACCAAGTAGAGTCTCACGACCCTTCGGCGATTCCCCCGTGTACGGTCGATAGTGCTGCTGCTTCTCTCCCCCCTTTGCTCTTCCTTCACCGTTGTGGCTCAAACATAGGGCCCATGTTGGTTTTCTCCACGCCCCATGCG